CCCCCCCCGATACCCAACCCAGCAAAAAAACCAAATTCTCCTAACACATTCAAGGGTTTTTCTCAGACAGGGAGACTTCCCTCTCACAAGGGAAGTGCATTTCAAAGGCAGTAAAACTCAGCAGTAACATTTTCTCCCATCAATCTGAGCCATCCTCTGTGTTCATTCTCAGCCATGATGAGAAAAAACAAGTCCTTAGTTGCTGAGTTTTCAGGTACTTTGCACCTATGACATACCGAGGTGGACAAGGAATTTCAAAACCTGTACTAATCTTTCTGTTCTCTGTCATTAGAGGAGAGGTTGTCGTTACAGATATGGTTAATTTATGTGAAAAAACTTCCACCAACAGCACTAACTCTTAGATCTCCACTTAAAGACTGCAAAAGGTCTGTAACTTGCCAATCTCAGTAGAACAAGTTTGTCCTCCCTGGTGTATTTATTGTGCTCCTTCAGATGTAAGGCAACCTGAATTTCAGACCAAGTCGAGCAGAAACTCATGCTAAAAAAGATCTCTTATATTCAGCAGAATGCAGTTCTGCTAGTAGCAAGTTTTAATTGCATCAATGGTGAACCACTATGTCTTACCATGAATGAATCTAAATATGATCATGATTTTATCAAGGATTCTTTCCAGCTCTTCATCTGTTGCTTCTTTATTACCAGCTCTTAACTTGGAATCCACGTATTTTGCTACAAATAAAACAATTTAACAGCTTTAAAAAAAATATAAATCTACAGTAACCAACTTAAGCATCTCTCACTTGAAATATTACTATCTGTTAAATATTACTGTATGTTAAAATATAGGATAAGTGTTAAATTTTCTGTTTTCCCATCCCTATGTTCAGTGGTATAACAGAGCCCCACTGTACTATTTGCCGTAACAGAAAAATGTCACAAAAAGGAACCAAGAAAAAAAATGTACAGTATAATCATTAAAATTAATGCATAAGAAATTCCCACATTTTGTGTCATGGTCTTAGCAAGCACATTACTTGTTGAAAGACAATGTTTTGGAAGTGTACAATGCATATGAATGTGTTTTATGAGAAACAGAAACAAACAACACAAAGAGGACTATATTTTTGTAGACCTTTACCATGTCCCTCGTGCTCCTTGGTAGGAACATACCAAAATTTAAACAGCAGCAAGGCTTTCAAGTTAGTAGCTTCAGAATGCCAGAAATAAGGTTAAGCCATGAGTTCAGCTAGGTATTTATTAAGCCACATTAGTATCCTTATACAACCTTCTGCATAAGAAGGAAACCTTTGCAAGAGCTGAAACACCACAATCGACAAATGAGAGCAGCCTGTATCATGGCTTTAACCTGTATCACTAGATTGTGCAATCCGTCCTACATAAAGCTGGTTTTAGAGGAAGCCACAAAATAAGCTGAATAAAGGCAAAAGAACATACAGAGGGAAAACAAACAACCAAGGAGCGGAATCCTCTCCCGGTGTAAAACGCCACAGCTCCAATTTTACTGCAGGCAAAACAGTTACAAGAGCTTTTGCCAGATCAGGGATAAACACATTAATAGTATTTTTAAGATGTTTTTTATTATTTCCCCCCCCGCCTTAATGAGCTCTAGTTCCCCCATCAAGCTAAAAAAAAGAAAAAACTCTATTAAAACTCCTTGTATCTGAAGGCTTTAAAAATGTTCTCCCAACCTCTGCCTTCAAAAGCAGATAGATAGGCTGTACTCGGTCCTTTCTGAGAAACCCGTAACATCCAAAGAACTTCTCTACTACCACAATTAAAAGCAGTCCCCCCTTTTTTTGTGCCACAGCTACTCTTCCTCCTGACCACTCACTCCACTCGCAGCATCAGCATTACGCTCTCCGAGAGCTGTTAGCACCAGGCACCGTGCAAGCAGCAGAGCGCAGGGCAGCAGAAGTTGGCATGCTCCGTCAGGACGCTGCACACGCGCCCAACAGCACACCCAAGCTTTTTGATCCCGCAGCGCTCCCAGGTTAACTTTTGCCTTGTACCCCCAAAACGAGTCTCCTCAAGCAGAATGCGTACTGCATCACTATCGCACTAGCACACTCAGCAGCATCATCTTATCATGCTTTCTATAGATTTTTGAAATATTTTACAGAAAAACATTTGTGTACCTATCAATTCTGCAGGCTTATTTGGTCTCTTGTTGATAAATGTTTCAAAGGACTCCTTCATCAAGTTTATAAATTTTTCATTTTTCTGAAAGCACACTTCTATGATATGGTCCACTTTATCCTTAAAATCTAGTAGCTCTTGCACCATATCCTTGTCCTTTTCAGGATTTACCACTATTGTTGTCCCAAAGTTCTGTAAAACAAACACTTTTGATAATAAAATACTTTTGAGTGCTACCTATCTCCCCCAACAGACACATTCACCCTTAGGAAATTTATCATTAGAAAGATTTTTTTTTTTTCCCCCAGAGCTACTTATGTGACTTCAAGTTTTCAAAAAATGAGATGTATTGAAATTTAAAATAAAAACCCAGACACACAATAATGGATTTCAAACATTAGTGTTTGATTTAAAGATTATATACATTTAACACAAAAGCTAAAAAAAATACACAATACACATGACTATGATGTGCAAGTTTACAGTTAGATACAGAACTACATGATTCATGTAAAAGAAATTATATGCAAATTGCCTCAGAAATGTTAAGTGTAAACTTTGAACCATTTTTCTTAAATCTACTAGAGAGCTCTATTGATGGAACAGGTGGCGAAAATTGAAAATTCAACCGCTGCTTATCACGCCGAAATTTCTCTTTCGGCAAGGGCTTAAAAGCAAAAAAACCTAGCTGACTTGCAATAAAACAGAACTTTCCCATTCACAAGAACGAGCCACAGACTTGACTTTCTTTTCATGTTCCCACATTTATTATCTTAAAGTCAGAGATACAATAGCATTTGTGAAGTGTCCCTTGTTTTGTATCTTTTATTGTTATTATTTTCCCTTCCTTTTCTGTCCTATTAAACTGTCTTTATCTCAACCCATGAGTTTTACCTTTTTGTGATTCTCTCCCCCTTCACACCTTACAGGGGGAGTGAGCAAACGGCTGTGTGGTGTTTGGCTGCCTGCCAGGTTAAACCACAACAAACAGAGAGACAGGGAAATCCCTCCCAAACCTCAAAATTTCCACCTCAGTACCTAATTATCCACTGTGATCTTTCATTGGCATCAAATCAAGACAAACACAAGGCTGCCCAAGGTCCTCAGATTTAATATGTATATCACAAAATCACAGAATGGTTTGGGTTGGAAGGGACCTCTGAAGATCATCTAGTCCATCATATCTTACACTTCGCACAATTTCCCCTTCCTCCACACAGCACCTGGACATCTCTCTATCAGTCACGTTCATAAATTGCAGGTCATTCCCCCCATTCTACAAACGGCAAACCGAGATACAGAAAGCTAAGTGGCACCTCTGAAATAAAAAGGCGACTATAGTAGAGCACAGACCTTCACCCCAGTAATTTGGCACACTCTCTGTGCTTTTTCTTATACTGGCTCACAAGATAAAAGTTAAGTTCTTGAAGCCTTACTTCAATACATGCTCTCTGTGCTTTTTCTTCTACTGGCTCACAAGATAAAAATTAAGTTCTTGAAGCCTTACTTCAATACATTCTGTCATACAGAAGATTTGAAAGGAGGAGATTTACTGATTTAACTACAAAAAATGGCTTCCAGGTTTTTGAGTCTGTAAAAAAAATTCTGAAAAACAAAGCCATAAAAGATCTGATTCTGTGCGACATAAGGTACAATAAGCCAACTTAACTTGTTGCTGTGAAAGGAGAGGTTTTGATCCTCCCTCCCTTATTTGCCTACCTGTCCCAAACTCTTGCTTGTTTCCTTGGGCCAGCACAGGACTTCTGTGAGCCTCTTTAGCTCACTAAACCTAGCATAGAACCGACCTTGCCCAGGTACTGTGTTAAAACAGATCCCAAAAGAGTCTATGAAGTGGCAGGGCAGCACAAGGGTTAAAATCAGGAGCACGATGTGGGAGCAAGGAAGAAATTGGCCCAGCCACCTATGGATCCCCGTCCCCTGCTGAGCACACTCCACCTTGGTTCTGGGGGCAGAGGGAGACTGTGCCCCAGACACGGCTGTGCCGTGCACAACTCGACATGGGTGTGGAAGAAGGGGACCTCTGAAGCGGCACTGATGCTACGCTCTTAGTCCTGAAGGGTGACGCACCCATGGGTGACTCAGGGGAGAACCATCACATCATGAATTATCAGCTCCAGAGAGAAGTATCTTCTGTGAAGCTTTGCTGCTTTCATCTTGCAAGAGCACTAGAGTGCAAGTGCTCTGGGGCAGCGTACTACACGCATATTACGCCTAGCAAAACAAACCTGAAGCATCTAAATACAACTTTAATGATAGATTATTTTCAAGAGGAGCATTCTGTTTAAAATACCCTGATCATTCATCAGCATTGCTGTAGGGTGGTTACATCTAGCACTGCTAGCCTGCAGCAGAATAGCTACATTCTGATGTTCCACCGATTTTGCAGATACGTAAACAGTTGAGTGTATTTGTAGCAAAACACAACACATAGTACAATCCAGCATACTCTAAACACATGTGCATGTGGCTCTTTAAAAGCAAAGCAAACAAAAATAACTTCTTGTGTAATTATCAAACCTCTAAGGAAAGCAATTTCCAAACAGAAATTTTAAACCAAAACTTCCGTGTTGCTGGTTCTCATCATGTGACTTACTGGGGGAGGGAAGCATTAACAACTCTCCCCACATTTGCTTAAAAACGGATTTTGATGCATACACTTATATACTGTTCTTGTTTCTGATAGAAGTAGTATACGGTAACAGTGTAATTTTTGACATTAATACGAGATCTTTGAAATACCTTGATGTATTCACTCCAATGCTGCAAAAGGATCTGCTGCCCACCTTTTACCCGGCTGAACAACTGGTACGTCTGGGTCAAATCTGATATTCTATTTTCATCAAGCAAGTTATCAAGTCCTAAAAAAATAAAATTGGAAGAAAGAGCAAATTTGAATATAGTTGCATAAATACAGTTAGAAATATATTGGAAAAATTGCTATGAAATACATCAAAAAAACAAAAACCTCCACCATGTTTAAAAAGTATGAACTTTTTAAGACTACATTTCTCCAAGCAAGTGGTATGTTCAGGGTTAACATGCCCCCTTGTTTAAACTGGCCAAAACGATTTATGGTATAATATTTTAAAACTATTTCAACTGAAGTGCTTTCCCAATAAGGTGTTACCTGTAAGCCTTTTGCAGAACTTTTATGAACAGTACTTGACTTGAAGGGTACAGTGTCATCAAGTGATCTCATAGAATCTCTAAAGAATGTTAGAAAATAGTAAGCTAAGTAAACTGCTTCATATTTAAAGATAAATATTGCGAAGATTTTTTTCCTGTGGAGTGTGGTGAGCCATGTTTTTAGATTAAGAATGTGCTGTGAATTGTCTATACTCATACTGATAGAACAACAAGATGACTACAAATGCCTTCCAAGCAACTTTCACTTTTATCAGTTCACCCTATGTGAGACTAGGCCTTGGACTAAAGAACGGAGAAGCAAAGCTCAGAGCAAAACACAAAGTTTAACAGCTATGTACACATTTTTACACTTGAGAATATGATCAGTGTAGTCCCAGTGTAATCAGAGATACATTGGTGTTGCTGACAGAGGGTTTAGCAATGTAGGAGGGCAGTATCAGAGACCTATGGCATTTTTAAAAATCCAGAAAGCTTGATTTTACACAGGTTGACCATTCACATCAGTGTAGCTGACTTTGTGTAACTGTTCTAGTTCATAAAATATACTTCATTAATTCAAATTTTTAAATGGTATTAGATCACAAAGAATTTTCAATCACTACTGAATTATCCTATTTTCTACTATATTCTTAATCTTAAAAATGCTTTCACTGTATACTACAACTTACATGTTCAGAAAGACAACCAATGTTCAAGAACAATGTCAGGTAAACTTTTGAGTGCCATTTTGAGATTTCCTGAACTTCAAGATATGCCTAAACTTTTGAGATATCAGAATAATGGACATAATTTAAAAGCATGTAAGACAACAGAGTCTTGAATACATGTGACCGGTGTTCTTTTGGCATTGAACAGGGCATTAAGAAATGCCCATTCAGCACATCCAAGCATCACCACCTATTCATTTAAAGACACCAATACACTAAGTGCTTTGTTGGAACCTAGATGATATAGTTTAACCTTCCTTCTTCCTCTGGCATATGAGCTGTGTGACTGAAATAATTATTTTGTCACATATTTGACAAATGAAAAAGACATAGGCAAGTCTTTTAAGACAAGGCTTCACACAACTTCCAGAAAGCACTGTCACAGCCTTGGAAAACTTCATTACACTCGTAATGAAAAAAAACAACCAGTACCTAGTCAATCACAGTTTTAATAACACAATTTTAAAAGTTTCTTCTACATACCCTGCATTTGTAAGGTTATTTTTTCCCCACCCCGTATCACACTGACTACATCACATGCCTTCTCCTAAGGAACAAAAGCTACAAAAGGCAGTGTCATCTTCTACTTGCATTGAACACCAGGCTGTTATAAGCAGATTACAATGTGCCCTGGATCAAATGAATGCAGAAAGTTATGCAACTCAAGTGACACTAGCCTTACTTTTTTTTAAGCACAGACACAGAATGCAAAAGCTGATCCAACAATACCACAGTAACTAGAAGAATGTACAACTTTCCATATTTACATGGATGGTGCGCATACATTATAAGCCCAAAAAACATTCAGAGTAAAAGAACACCACATATTTTCTGGTTAAGCCAACTGATGAACAAATATATCACTGGAAAAGTTACTTTTAAAAAAATACTTGAATTAAAGAGCAAGCAACACTGACATATATCAACAACAAAAAAAAATATTACCTTTTGTTTATGATAAGCTTAACATAACTAAACTGGAGTGACCACTTATAAATTTATTGGAAACAGTGAAATAACTTATTCCCAGAGCAGTTCAGAGAAGTCTGTGAGCATATGTCTATTTTTAAAAAAGGGACAATGAAAGAAGTGAAAGTGGTATGTGTAACAACCCACAAGTATAAACAAACATGGACATGATGGAGTTCGAAGATACCAGACTACTAGGGACATCTATTTTGCAGCAGTAAAGGAAACAGACACAAGGGTAACTTGCTAGAAGATCTAAAACTGAAAAAGATGCCCAGCGCAAGAAAAGGAAGGTATCATTTAAAGTATTAAAAGATGAAGGAACACTGATCAAACCCAGGAACTCAGTGAGAAAGACTGAAAATTAAGAGGAACAAAGAAATGGCGATTTGAAGACACTGATGTCTGGGTAAGGACTTCCTAGGAAGACTGCAGCTCATATCTGAAATTGCCAGACAAAAGGTAAACTATCACAGAATCACAGAATGGTAGGGGTTGGAAGGAACCTCTGGGGATTATCTGGTCCGACCGCCCTGCCAAAGCAGGGTCACCTACAGCAGGCTGCATGGGACCTTGTCCAGGCGGGTCTTGAATATCTCCAGAGAAGGAGACTCCACAACCCCTCTGGGCAGCCTGTTCCAGGGCTCCGTCACCCTCAGAGGGAAGAAGTTCTTCCTCATGCTCAGACGGAACTTCCCGTGCTTCAGTTTGTACCCGTTGCATGCACAAAACATTGACAAAAGCACATGAAAGTGCATTGCCTTGGAATGCTGTCAGTTCCAATAACTCACGATTCTCGAGCTATGCAAAGACAAGAATATGTCAAGCTATTGCACTTCAGCTGTGTGATTATCACATAAAAGAAGGTACGACAGTAACTGCAGTTCTCATTTAGAAACTTATATAATTCTAGGAAATCAGCAGTTCCAAAGGTTTGATTCCTAAGCGCACCGCTGTAAGTCAAAGGAGATTTAGAAGGTTTAGCAACCTTTAAAAATATGGAATTGTATTTCAGATATTTGTTTCCACATATACAATTTACTTGTCACAGTGGGTGTAACGGTGTCACAGGGTTGGCTTTATGTATCTGTGGAAGTTTATTCCATGGCTAACATGTCTCCTTAAATAAAAGCTATGGAGTCTATAGATGCTGCAGAGTACAAGAATCTGTTGCTCATTGGAGACCACAAATTTTAAAAAATACCTTTTTGCAAAATAGCTGATAAGTGTTCTCCTAGTAGCTGTTTCTCCACACAAGCAATCAGTGGTTTCCTAAATAAGGCAAGAAAAGCATATTAGAAGTACTAGCACATAAGGGAATTGCCTCCTGTCACAGTGTATTTGTGAATAGCTCACCTGACAATACAAAAACAACAATTTCCTACTTAAAACAGAGGCTACAAATTAAGAGAAAAATGTCACATGTGAAAGAAGTCAAGAAAACAGTAAACCACCTATGTAATTAAAAACAAAATTCAGTTTTGAATACTAAAAAACAAGTTCTTAGTAGAAAAGATTAGAAACCAAAATTCAGTACAAAAAATTTCTGAAAAAACCCACAAAATTGATATTTTCTTGGAAACAAACAAATCAACAAACAAAACAAAATCCTCCAAGGGTTTGAACTCCAAAACAACACAACACACCTTGGTGATATTCAAAACTCAAACTTTTTGTCCAATTGTATTATGCACCTACATGAGCATAAATTGAGCTAGAACTACAAGACTAAAATTTGCAAAACATTTTAAATTTCTCCTTGAATTTTCTGTACTTTTTACTATTACTGAAATATTTGTTTGATGCATTCACTTTAGATAGGACTGAAAAATAATGGCAAGTTTTCCTTTCCATCCTTTCTAGCCTAAAAGAAGAAATGTTTGAAGTGCAGAGGGATAACTAAAACATCTAAACTTGTTCCACTGTTTACTGTATGGCAGCAAAAGACCAACCACTTCTTTCTGCATTAAATTTCATAAAACTGTTCTCAGACCCTTCATTTAGATTTTCTAAATGACAGATGCTCAATTCGGATTGATGGAAGCCTTTTATGTAGCAGCTACCACTTTATGTCCCTTCCTTCACCAAGACATCACCTTTCCTGAAACAGCCCACCAATGATTTACCTGACCTTCCATACAATATAGTTTTAGTCCTTTCATCTCCAAAGATTAAATCAGAATTTGGAAAGGTTCAGAAAAGGGAACAGGGGTGACAAAAGTACGGAGCAGCAGCTGAAGAGAAACAACTGCACACGTTAGTACTCTCTCTGGGAAAGAAATGACTCGGCGGGGACACAGTGCATTGACAGGCAGGGAAAACACGAAAGGGAACCAACTGATTGCTCTCCCTTCCAGTGCAAGAGCTGGGGTCATCGGTGATGGTAGTGGGAGCCAGACTTAAACAAAAGCAGGTGATTTATCGCATGGTGGCTAGTGCACTGGTGGAACACTTTGCCAAAGGCTGGCACAGATGGAAAAGCTTGTGTGAATCCCAGTGAGACAGTGCAAGTATTTGAAAGAGATCCAAACAGACAAACCACATCAGGTTCAGAAAATACCCAGAGCTGAAAACAGGCAGATACTAGGAGAGGATCACGTATACTTACTCTATTCTTTCCCTGCAGTGGCTGTAAGCAAACATGAAACACTAGTCAGACCGACCCTTGGTCTTAATACATACAGCCATTTTTATGGTTACTTCCATATTCCCTGGAGTTTCCAACTACTGCTATCTACAGCTGCGGACAGTCTCCAACACAGCAGGAGTCAAGGCTGTATAAAATACAGTACTGATGGGCTGAGTAAATCCCTACATGGGCTGCAATACCACACTCTCCCTGTGTTGCATCAACCTGGCTTGAAATGTTCTAAATGGCATTTCCCACCATGGTTTTGTCCTGGAAGTATCATTTCCATCTCAAGATCTAAGTTAGCAACTAAATCCAACATGCTTTCTGCTCTTTACATGCACACCTGGAGAGACAGTATGACCTGAGGACAACTCAAGGGCACTAATTGTAGGACCTGCTGTTTCTTACTACAAAAAAAAAGGAAATTAGTGCAAAGCCTTCTAAAAGTAGGTTTCTGAGCCTTTAACTAAGGACTAGATTCAAAGCAAGGACTTGATGTACATCTAGACGTACTGAAAATGTAATGATACCAACCTATTGTTTTACTTAAATACTGAATAAATACATTTATATGCTTTAACTTTATACACAGAAATAGTTCCATATATTTTAATGTGACTGATTTTGCCTGAAGAAGCTAGTCACCCTGCAATCAGCATTTACAGAAAAAAATTCATGTTCAAATCTGTACCATGACACGCCAGGCACGTGCAAGTGTGTGTATAAATATATGCAAAATATGTCTGAAGAAAATAGTAAGTTAAGAAGATCATTTTTATCCAGTTATTCTTTTAGCATTCATTGAAATGCCAATACATCATCTAGAAAATAAACACCTAAAATAAAAATGTTATTAACTGTTACATTCTTTATTAAAAAAACATGCAACAGCTTACTACAGGACAAGTTATATATGGATTTATAATATGTGTCATTTCATCTGTGATAAGAGTTCATTTTCTTCCTAGTAGCTGGTACAGCACTACGTTTTGGATTTGGTATGAGAACAATGTTGGTAACGCACTGGTGTTTTAGTTGCTGCCAAGCGGTGCTTAACACTGAGTCAAGGACTGTTCAGCTTCTCACACTGCTCTGCGGAGACGAGGTGTGGGGGCACAAGAACCTGGGGGGGACACAGCCGGGACAGCTGATCCCGACTGACCAGAGGGATATCCCACACCGTATGACGTCATGCTGAAAAACTGGAGACAGTTGACCAGGGGGCAGGGGCTGCTGTTCGGGGACTGGCTGGGCATCGGTCAGCGGGTGGTCAGCAACTGCCTTGTGCATCACTTGTTTTGGGTATTCTTTTATTATTACGATTTTCCTTTCCTGTCCTATTAAACTGCCTTTATCTCAGCCCACAAGATTTACCTTTTTTGTGACACTCTCCCCCATCCCACTGGGAGCGAGCAGATGGCTGCGTGGTGTTTAGCTGCCTGCTGGGTTACAGCACAACAGTCCTTTGACTCTGTGGTGCTTCCTGACCGCATGTTCTTACCCTAGCAAAACACACACTATATGTATTACTCAATACCCGAGTGAAAAAAGGGCAAGCTACCTTGCACAACAGATTGGCAGCAGCTGCACCAAAGCTGAGGTACTGTAAATGCACATTCTGGACTGCTCATGAATGATGTTCATGGCCTGTATCCTTGCCATAATCTAACTTTGTCTTTCCTTTTTTTTCCCTAATCAATCTTTCTTTCCCTTACGTGTTTTGTAGTGAATTTTACCATCGGCACATAGATGGTTAAAACTAGCTACTACTTTGATAATGCAAATTTGAGTTATTATATAAAGTTTTGTTAACTAATCTATACTGCTAAGTCTTTTTGGACAAATTCACCCCTCTTACTCAAAATATGTTTTGATTTTAAAGAAATCAGTTTTGATAAAAAGCCTTAAAAAAACCAAGCTGTATCAGAAGTTCTGTCAACAAGATAATATCTGTAAAATAATAATAAGAAATAATCCGTGTCTCTATAACCATAGACAGCCACACTTTTTTTATGATGGATGCTTGACTGCTGCTAAGAATGACAGAATTTGTACTCACTGTGTGCTATGGTCTAAGTATGTTATTACTCTGTCTCCTTCTTCTTCCAAACGTTTACTAACGTGGTGAAGATACTCTGGGACCTAGTGAGACAAGAGAATGCCAAGTTCAGCTTCAAACGTATCAAAGGCAGATAATCTCGATCCATTATAATTATTCTAAATTACAAATTTAAGAAGAGAGTACAAATTGGGAAGGACTATTCCACCAGAATGTTGTTACATATTACATAATACGTATTTTTATTAAACAACGTTACTTCATATTAAAAGTATTATACCCATACCTGACAGGAAGGAACAGAAAAAGAGAAATCTGAGAATTTTTCAGAGAAAGTTAATTTTTTCTCAAAATCCTACTGAGTTAAGTTAGCCCTTAAAATATCATGGAGCCGATTTTCAAGTGGTGTGAACTGTATCGTTCTATTATTTCAACAGCAGTTTCTCCAGCGGGGTATCTGACCCTGTGAAGACTTCACATATTTATCATGTTATGACACAGGTATGAAACTCAGGCTTCAAATGATCAAATGATGCAGTTATGCATACATATGTACATTTATACACTGTGTAAGTTAGGGCCTTACTCCTTTTGTGTTTTTCCACAGCTTTCCACTAGGTGCATAAAAGCAATAAGACTCCTGGCTTCAAAATCTCCGCCAAAGCACTTCACCTCAGGTCCCAGTGGAACACCAGGGAATGAGGTGAATGGAGCAGGATTAGTGACAAGGATTCACCTCAGTGCAACATTAACTGGCATTTTCAAAACGATTGTAGTGACTCAGTGTTAAAACAGAATTAATAAAAGCAGTCTTCTGTATTTTAGACCACCAAGAAACATGTCATTTCATACACATTTTCAGATATAACCACATTTGCAGGCTGCCTACTGCAGAGCATAATTTTAGCTCAAGAGGACAGAAAACAAAACTGTTTTAACTAACAAGGAGAAGAAACAAATCTGCAAAATAAATGCAACAAAATAGTAAAAACATAAATGGTTTACATGTGTATTAACCATACAGTAAAATGATACCAGTTGATATTTCACAGCTCTTGGGAAAAAATAGTATCGATGGCACCCCTTTAAGCTTTATGTGGAAATTACTTTCTGGTAGTGTTACTTTAGCTACACCATATGTCACTGGGTTTCTCCATCCTTAAATATATATTTCAAACACCACGGCAGTCTGGAGTCTGCTCTTCCCTTTGATACAATACTGTGCTCCTCATCAAAACACGTGAATGTGTACATGGGTATCAGTGAATTTCACTGAACATTAATACACCATGGCTCTACCAGTGGTTCTTACGTAATCCCATAGCAGATAAAACTAGCACAAAAGCAATCATCTACAACATGCACCTACCTCTCTTTCTTGCATTAATCTTTGGCCTTCTGCAGCATATAAGCAATTTGTCTCTTCCAGAAACCTCTGTTCAAACGATTCCTTGTAAACCTGCTCAAGAAATTAATCTAGTTACTTGCAGTAAGCTGTCAGTAAAGGTAGCATATTTCGGTTGTCAGGCACAGAGGGCAAGTAAAATCTCAAGAACACACACAGTTATGACACATGTCAGAGTAATATTACATTAACACAGAATTTCTTTGTTTGCCCACTGGTTTTAGAAAGACTGAGATCAGAGCTGACTTCCCAGTGCAGCAATAGCCTGTTTCAGTCATCAGTACTCAAATCATCTAAACTGACTGGCTTCTGTTTCAGGCACACAGGCCAACACCAGTACCCAACATCACAGCACAATGACATCCAATCCACCTGAGCTCAAGATTTCCACTGATACTTCTGTGGCAAAAAAAATTACTTCCAACTAGTGAAACATTGGCACAAAACAGGTAACTCCCATCAGTAATATGATAATACACTCAGTAATAATTCTTCAGATCTGCCAGGTTTACCTCAGTGGCTGAAGAAAAAATGAATTATACCAAATAAGGTGACAGCTCTTTCTTCAGGTGTTATGGGTTTGTGTGGCAAGGTTTTGGTAGCAGGGGGCTATAGGGGTGGCTTTTGTGAGAAGCCGCGAGAAGCTTCCCCCATGCCTGATAAAGCCAGTGCCAGTGGCTGGTAGAACAGATTTAAGAAGGTGAAGAAGAACTGTGGTGAAACAGCAGTGCAGAGAGAGGAGTAAGATTCACCAAGGGGAAATCATGCCTGACCAATCTAATAGCTTTCTACAATGACATGACTGGCTGGGTAGACGAAGGGAGAGCCGTGGATGTTGTCTACCTCGACTTCAGCAAGGCTTTCGACACAGTCTCCCATGATATCCTCCTAGGGAAGCTCAGGAAGTGTGGGCTGGATGAGTGGTCGGTGAAGTGGACTGAGAACTGGCTGAATGGCAGAATTCAGAGGGTTGTCATCAGTGGGCGCTGAGTCTAGTTGGAGGCTGGTAAC